GGCGAATTTTCTTTTCTCGAGTGATATCTCCGAGTTATCTGAGATAAGACTGTAGGAAGGTAGAGGCGTTGACCCACATAGAAAGACGAACAACAGCAAGGGAAAGATAAGTAGTTATATCCAGCGTAACGTTTACGTGTGCAAATTCGAAAAAAAAAAAAAAAAAAAAAAAAAAAATACATACCGATTTCGATATCCGACTCCGTACCGTATCGCTAGTAAAAAGATAGGCGAAAGAGAGGTTTGATGTATAAAAAAAAAAAAAGAAAAAAAACAAACCAACTCTCTTGAAGTGAAAGGAGACGAGAGGTTGATCAACAATTATCGACGAAGTTGTTTCATATAAAAAAATGTATATTTACGATTATTTTCTTAAAAGATACAAAAGAAACATCGACGTTTCGTACAAAAATAATTTGTTTCGCATTTTTCTCTTTTTTCTTACTCGACACTCGGATTAAACGTTTCGAGGACCATACGCGCAAATGTACATGTGCGTGTTAGTGCGTGTGTGTGTGTGTGTGTGTGTCTGTGTGTGCGCTTGTGAGAAAACGTGTCAACGATTTAGCAAACACGAAACGTCTGTCTCTTTGAGCATCTTTAAACATCAAATGCGGCTTATTATCTTACGAAGATACAGGCAAATATATACATCCCTCCTACGAATGATTAAGATCCACTTGTCCGGGAGACCGATGACGTTCGCGTCACGGTTATTTTGCGCGAAACGCGATCGAGAAGAAAAAAAACCAGTCTCCGTGAGAGTGACTGTCCAAGACGCCGTGTGTTTTTTTTTTTTTTTTTTTTTTTATGGAAGATCGGCGGACCGATTTGTGTGTGCGTGCTTCTTCGTCCGACGAGAGATCTAGTACGGCCCGCTGGGGCCCGGATGCGGTGCTCCGTAACTGTCGATGGGTTGTCCCGGCTGTTGCCCAGGTGGGCCGTACTCGCCGCCACCTTGCTCCTTCTGTAATGCAAAAAAAAAAAAATAAATTCTATGTTAAGGAACAAGATGAGAGAGAGAGAGTCGTTCGGGAGAGTTGTTCGTGCGCGCGATCACGATCTTTTCCGCGCGGTTCGCGGGAATTCGGTTCGCCACGGCGTGTGGCGCGGTTCGCGCAACTCTCGAGTTTAGTTACCCGTAGATGTAGATAAAAACTAGTATTATATATAGAAGCGCTAGAGAAACTTTTCGGTAAAAAAAAAAAAAAAAAAAAAAAAAAAAAAAAACCCGTTGATTGATCCGGTGAACATTCAAGCCGATAGTTTATTCGGAAATATATAGTGTAGGTATATAAGTAATATTTTTTTTTTTATAATCAATTCCCGTAGTGATTAGGGTGCACGGCAATTAATAGATATCTTTCTCTTCAATTGACCTCGCGCTGATATGTATTTGAGAGAGGAGAAACTTTCCGTAATTGCGCAAAAATCATCATCGTCATCATCATCATTATCATTGTCATCATCATCATTTACCGCGGTCACATTTTTTTTTTTATTCGAGTCGCGTGCAAGATTCGTTCGTAATTAATTAAGATTCGTATTTAAATTGTTCGAAACACAGATAAACGTGCGAGGATTATTTATGGACGACGCGTCTAATTCGCATATCTGAGTGCGCGCGCAAAAAAAAAAAAAAAAAGGCGCCGCGTCATCCGCCGTCAACGAAATGAGCAATTTGTATTCCACGACCGCGTGACACTTCACTTTCTTTCGTTTCGTCATTAGATCGTAATTCCTCCGTCCTGGAATTCGCTCGAAACGACTCTTCTATTTCGATGATCGCATTAAAAGCGTCATGACTATTCGTCACGTATGTGCGTTAGCCAACGTTGAGCAACTGAGAATTGCGCAACACGTTGCGTTTCGGAAATCGCGAAAATAGAGTTCCCGGATTTATTTATAAAAAAAAAAAAAAAAACGAAACCAATTTTACAGATCAAATCGATTTGATAGATTTAGTTCGCCATCTTGCTTTTGGAATTTCCGACGAGCGATGTTGCATAAAAGATGTTACGTCAAACTACTTGTAAAAAAAAGAAAAGCGAGAGAGAAAAATGAGAGATCCTGTTACCTGAGTCTTGTAGCGGATGAAGTAGACTTCCGGCTTGCTTGGCTGCGTCGGCGCTTGCGTCGGTAGTACAACGTCGGGCGCCTCTTCCGGCTTCTTAACCAGCACGTAGATGAGCGTCTTCTCCTCGTCCGGTTGCGGTAGCGGCGGCAGCTGAGGCGCGGTCGGCGTCGGCGGTGTCGGCGCTTTAATAAACACGATCTTGTAGTGCTTCTGCGGCGGCTGCGGCAACGGAACCTGTTTAGGCGCTTTGTACTCAGGCGCTTCCGGAGGCGGCACATGCACGTACACGTGTTTGTGGATCACGGGATTTTGCTGCGGCGGTCCGTAGCGATCGGCGGGCGGCCCGTAGCTGTTGGACACGCCGCCACCACCGCCGCCGCCGCCGCCGCCACCACCGGAGGGCGGAAAGTACGAGCTCACCGGCGGTTCCGGCGCCGGTTTCGCCAGCACCAGCGCGATCGACGAGCAGGCGATCACAAAAATCGTGCTCTGCAAAGAAAAAAAAACGTAAACAGCAGGGAATGACACGATTGTGGAATAATAAATTTACATATTATTAATACGTATAAAATATATTTAATGTATATTTTATTTGTATATATAAATTTATTAATATATTTTATTAATAAATATATATATGTATGTACGCGTAATATATTTTATATAAATAATACATATATATTATACGTGTATTATTTATTAAAATATATAAAAGCAATATGACAAGCAATGATAAAGCAATAAATGTAAGTTATTTATGACGCGTTTATAATCTGTGCTAAATAACTTCGAGTTCGTTACGCGGCGTCACGATGAATTATTACCTTATCATTATAGGCGCCTTGGCGATTTAATGTGATTAATTTAAACGAGTAAAGTGCGCGAGGCGCGATACAACGCTTATAGAAAAAAAAAAAAAAAAAAAACTCGATTTGCAATGGACATTTCGATTCAATTCAATATTTCTCGTGATCCTACTGCCCGTCGTAATTTGACGAGGGAATTCGACGACGCGACCGTATAATCAGCAGCTATAATCAACCGGATTACAATTGCGCTTTCTCCTTTTCAGATTGTCGCGCTGTGACTCGTAATTGCGCGATTTTTGTGAATTTGTCGCGAGATATATAAGGAGACAACGATGAACGCTCGTTGTTTAGCGCGCCTTTCAAACAAGTCGCGTCCTCCTCGCGCGACTGTCAATCATCTCTCCGGAGGAGAGCAAAGGTAATCGCTAATAAGCATGAAACATTCGCCGTTCAATCTCGAACGATCACCGAGAAGAGAGTCAATTAATGTAACAGAATGGTTTTTTTTTTTTTTTTTTTTTTTNAAAAAAAAAAAAAAACGAAACCAATTTTACAGATCAAATCGATTTGATAGATTTAGTTCGCCATCTTGCTTTTGGAATTTCCGACGAGCGATGTTGCATAAAAGATGTTACGTCAAACTACTTGTAAAAAAAAGAAAAGCGAGAGAGAAAAATGAGAGATCCTGTTACCTGAGTCTTGTAGCGGATGAAGTAGACTTCCGGCTTGCTTGGCTGCGTCGGCGCTTGCGTCGGTAGTACAACGTCGGGCGCCTCTTCCGGCTTCTTAACCAGCACGTAGATGAGCGTCTTCTCCTCGTCCGGTTGCGGTAGCGGCGGCAGCTGAGGCGCGGTCGGCGTCGGCGGTGTCGGCGCTTTAATAAACACGATCTTGTAGTGCTTCTGCGGCGGCTGCGGCAACGGAACCTGTTTAGGCGCTTTGTACTCAGGCGCTTCCGGAGGCGGCACATGCACGTACACGTGTTTGTGGATCACGGGATTTTGCTGCGGCGGTCCGTAGCGATCGGCGGGCGGCCCGTAGCTGTTGGACACGCCGCCACCACCGCCGCCGCCGCCGCCGCCACCACCGGAGGGCGGAAAGTACGAGCTCACCGGCGGTTCCGGCGCCGGTTTCGCCAGCACCAGCGCGATCGACGAGCAGGCGATCACAAAAATCGTGCTCTGCAAAGAAAAAAAAACGTAAACAGCAGGGAATGACACGATTGTGGAATAATAAATTTACATATTATTAATACGTATAAAATATATTTAATGTATATTTTATTTGTATATATAAATTTATTAATATATTTTATTAATAAATATATATATGTATGTACGCGTAATATATTTTATATAAATAATACATATATATTATACGTGTATTATTTATTAAAATATATAAAAGCAATATGACAAGCAATGATAAAGCAATAAATGTAAGTTATTTATGACGCGTTTATAATCTGTGCTAAATAACTTCGAGTTCGTTACGCGGCGTCACGATGAATTATTACCTTATCATTATAGGCGCCTTGGCGATTTAATGTGATTAATTTAAACGAGTAAAGTGCGCGAGGCGCGATACAACGCTTATAGAAAAAAAAAAAAAAAAAAAACTCGATTTGCAATGGACATTTCGATTCAATTCAATATTTCTCGTGATCCTACTGCCCGTCGTAATTTGACGAGGGAATTCGACGACGCGACCGTATAATCAGCAGCTATAATCAACCGGATTACAATTGCGCTTTCTCCTTTTCAGATTGTCGCGCTGTGACTCGTAATTGCGCGATTTTTGTGAATTTGTCGCGAGATATATAAGGAGACAACGATGAACGCTCGTTGTTTAGCGCGCCTTTCAAACAAGTCGCGTCCTCCTCGCGCGACTGTCAATCATCTCTCCGGAGGAGAGCAAAGGTAATCGCTAATAAGCATGAAACATTCGCCGTTCAATCTCGAACGATCACCGAGAAGAGAGTCAATTAATGTAACAGAATGGTTTTTTTTTTTTTTTTTTTTTTTTTCGTTCTTCTGCATAATCCCCCGGGCACGGGCTATTAGCGTGTGCGGAAGAGACGGTACTTAATCGTCAATGTGTGCACGTATGTATATAAAAGTTCAGCTCGAGCGAAGCTCTTCCTTACTCGCCTAACGACCCACCGATCATTTAATCGTGCTTTAGTGCCGCATCGCGGCGGTAGAGAGAGAGACCTCTTTTTCCTCCTCCTCCTCCTCCCTCCCTCCCTCCCTTCCCCCCCGCGAAGAACCGGAGCTGCTTTCGCTATTTTCCTTCACGTCGTAATTATCAAGACCGTGTCGGCGAATCGAGTCGTCGGGAGAGGAGGCGGGGATCCTTTTACTTTTGCCTGTGTGCGCGCACGGTTTTAATCCGACGAGATTTCGTATCCCGATGCGGCTCACGGGCTCACGCTCGACGGATTTTTTTCTCTCTTTGGGAAAACACGCCGGGTCACTTTCCATCGCTTAAAAAAGCAGACGCGACCGTTGGAACGGATGATGTAAACGCGCGCCGCAAAAGTCAATCTATATATATATATATATATGTATATATATATATATGTATATACAACGCTCGAGAGCGTTAGACGCTCGCGCGAAAGCGAACGATTTTCTTGAGAAATTTCTGCGCGACGTGTTAAGTTTCGTCGAGAAAAATCAAAATTTAACAACGAAAAATTTATTAACAAATGAATAAGAGAGAAGATGCGTGCGTGTTTAAGTGAGAGAAGTAAGAGTGGAGCAGAGAGGAGGCGCGCGGTGTGTTTCGCAAGGAACGAACCGAAAGTTACCGTCCATTAAATGCACCTGGTCACTCGATCACTCGATTACTCGTTACCCGGACAAGATTGCGCCATTTAAATTCAATAACCGGTCTCGAATGTTTTTCAGAAGACGCGCACTTTCGAGCGTCTCTCAAAGCCGCGAGTGGAAATTAAAAAAAAAAAAAAAA